GTATTGTCAGTCTATACCAAGGATGAACGGGCTTATTAGAACTGTATCACCAACCCCAAACAACCAGGGTTTGGAAGATGATTTTTGGGTTGAAACCGAGGCTGCAATTCAGTTCCCGACCTGTCAGAGGTCTGTAGATTTTGTGTCATCCTGAAGCTTGTCAGATAGCCATTGCAGACTAGGATATGGTGCGAACCTGGGGTAATAACAGCCGAGCCAATGCGAAATCAAAGATTTCAATGTTCGTCGGGTGGGCTGCGGGCCCAAATGTGTGGCACCATGTGGCACCACAAAAAACTTTGCAGCTTCAAAAGGGGCTGCGCGACTGTAATCTCTGCAGTCCACTGTATGTGAGGCAAAGGGTGGGGATCGCTCAAAATGTGAAGTGTTTGTTTCTTTGGGTGTATCTTCGTGAAGAAGTGGCACCATGGCAGTCCTTTTCCAGTTCTCTCCGCATATCTCCGCTTAAAATGTCAAAACCTCCAAGGAAGACGCGTTTGGGTAGACGATAAGCGCATTTCTGTCATGGGCATGTCGGACGGCGCCTCTTTAGCCCTGTCCATGGTGCCTCGGATGCGCAGCAGAATTGGAACTTCACGCTTCATGCGTTTGCGTGTTTCCGAATCTGGAGTGTCACTTTCCCACAAAAAACATGTAAAACATGGGATGCTGATTCTCAAATCACCATGTAGACATGACCATATCGAAAGGTTGAAACATGTCGAAACCATGCAGCAAGTTTTGGCAAATTTTTTGGCAGATTCCTCCGGTCGATGATCTCCTCCAGCGGAGGCTCTTCGAAACCCAGGGGTTTTCACCACCGCGTTCCTGGGCGGGGCATGAACTGAAGGTCATGGTGGCCGGGTATTTGATGGTTATTTGATGGTTGTTGGTATGGTTGTAGTAGGTGTTGAGGCAATTTGGACAGAATGAGGCTGGAAAACGCTTTACATGTGTGGCTTAGTCAAAGTGAGCGGAGTACCAGACTACCAGCTCAGAGATCAAAGAATCTCTTAATTTCCTGCGGCTAATGGTTTGGAATTCCTTCTTCCCATCTTCAAGATTCTTCAAGACTATCCCAGGCCAGTCCAATATCACCCTGCAGCCATATTTCTTTCCGCTCGAATGTTTGAAGAATAGTCAGAATAGTCTCAAGAACAGCCCAAGGTTGGTGCAGGCTACTGGTTTCTTCCATGATCCGTTGCCAACATCCTTAAAACCTCGAGCAACTTGGCTCTGGCGCTCAGGTTGGCCATTGTGAGTGATGGCAACACGGGTAAAAACCATTCAAAAACTATGTTTGGATATTTTTGGACCTCGAATTCAGCAGAATTGGGCAGATGAATGCCTTGATCGCGTTTGATCCTTTTTATTTATATAAGCCAAATCCCACCATTTGGTGGCGAAATGAACATATGTTGGTCCGTTTCTGAACTTCCATTGGTCGTGTCACAGTTGTTGACCCAGGTCTACATGGAGTACGGAGAAGAAGACAAACTCTTCGAAGCAGCCCGCGTGGCCCTGCCAAACCGCGACCGTCTTCGAGGAGATGGGTGGCTTGATGAGAAAATCTTCCAACAATGCGCCAACAACATTGCTGGAATGTATGGCAACAAATGGTATTATCAACGATTATGCGATATGAATATGATATGATTTTTAGATGCTGACTAAAAAGTCATCTATTATCTGTTTATGAGTATTTATTTGGCTATCTGATGATAAGAACATGATTGTAAGATGAGCTGTTTTTCATTGTTTTTCTATGTTTTGTTGGGTATGGTGTTACAGCTTCAAGCCGAAGTGCCCTTCGGCGCCCGGACTGAGGTGCTTCGTGGAGTTTGTGATGATCCCAGGTGCAGGTGAGGCTGGTGAGGGTGCTTCCGTCTCAGCAGTTGCCCAGGATTTTCTAAGGTTCCAAGGCATTATCTGGTTGGTGGTTTGGACCATTTTTTTATTTTCCACAATATATATATATTTAATATATTATATGGGATAATCCTTCCCATTGACTTTCATATTTTTCAGAGGGGTGGCTCAACCACCAACCAGTTATGATTCGAAGATGTGACGAGATCACAATCTTTCCTGACCTAAATTTGAGCCTAAATGATCCTGACCTAAGTGCATCTAAATGCCACAATGCCACTGGCACACTATGGCACACTACTCAACCATCCAACCGAGACTTTGAAAGCAAAGAATGGGGACGATCAACAATAACTGGGACCCGATATTTGTGGCGCTTTGAATCTACTTTTGGGTCTCAGGTGGATGAAGCTGCAATGCTGGAAATATCTGGAAAGTGGGTCTGCCTCAAAGTGATCTACCATGATCTACCCCAAAATTGGTCAATGTTGAGGGACTTACCATTAAAAATCACCAATATTTGCTGGGTCCTCCACGATCATATCACGCATTGCTTCCAGGACACATGGTTCGAGAGGAGTTTTTCAGTGCTGCGCTGGACTTTTGGCTGGCACCGGTCGCCAAAGGATAGCGATCGATCAGTCGCGTTCAGGCAGGGATTTCAACTTGGGAGATGGCAAGATCTCCAGAGATGTGCTATTTGTAGCCTCCAAATATATCAAACATGTCGGGGGAGAGACATGTTTTCTTTCTTTTTAACATGTAATATGTACATAATATGTACACATATACACATACATTCTGTAGCACTATTGCTGCAAATCCATTTGGTGAAGCATGTTGGTCTTTGAAGTGTCATGCGCTCATAGTTCAAGACCTCTGCTTGAAGCACCCTTGGCTCAAGCAGTCAGATCTTGCTTCAGCATCCCTGCCGGGGGTCTGAGAGAAATTCACGGGTGGAGAGAATCGTGAGGATGTACCCGCAGATCCAACACAAGACAACCAACATATACCAACATCAACCCAAAAGAAATGGCGGGCTTAGCCCGCAATTCAGGGAGATACTGGCCCAACAGATATTGGCTTGGAAGCCATAGGTCGGGCTATATTTTGTACATGCGCAGACATACAGTCATTAATCATTAATAGTCATTACACTAAAAAGGATAACAAAGGGGTTCTTTTGTCGTGGGGGACCTGAGAATCATCCAAGATTTTGGGCATTTTTCATGTGGAAATCATGGGACTTCCATGTTCGGTGGGATGAATTCGCTGGCTGGCATGCTGGCTCGAACACTGGTTCATTGGACCAAAGGCTCGCCTTTAGCCCCTGGATGCCCTTGGCTACACGCTTTTAGAGGGCGATCGGGAGTGAATCTTTATGGGGCACCAAGTTTCAGAAACATCCAGGAGGAATAACATGCCCTAGCACTTAGCACTATCCAGAATAAGATTTCGCGAGAGACAAAACACAACCAAATTTTAGACACATCTCAGAAACTTCTATCCTAAAATGGAGGTACCCCATTAAATGGATGGTTTATTGGAAAATCCTCTCAAAATAAATGATTAAGCATAAAGTCTGAAGCCTGTCGCATTCTGGGAACCTTTGCGCAGCCACTGCTGTGCCGAGGTTTCTTGCGATGCCAAAGATGTCACGCAAGCGAAGACCTCAAAATTCATCACGTGCTATTGGTGTGGTGTAAATTGTTGTGGTTGCTTTACGGTAATGAAACGTGATAGTGGCGCCCCCTAATCTGGGTTGTGTTGGGCTGTTGAGAAAGTCGTGTATATATTTCATTATTGGTTGCTGGCGGTTCGTTGCTGTTTGAACGACACAAGTCCCCAATCTCTGTGCGCGCTCCTTCTTACCGTCAGTCAGAGTCGCCCAATTATTTCATACACACGGATTCATTTCCATAATAGTGCCATTTAAAGAGATCAATAATAAATTGTGTTGCCTGTAATATGAGGGGAATGTTTCAGTGCCGTGTGTCAATGTGTCATGGCTGGAGGGTTAAATCAACAAGTTGGAGCCATCAGCTTACCAAACATCCAAGTGAGAAAAATCGTCATGGTTGACCAATAGTTCCATCCAACCAGCAATTTATTAGTCAAGAATAGTCGGGTCATATTGGTTAGCATAACAGTCACTTAATCAAACAAACCTAGATCTTGAACATGACCCACCTGTTGTTGGTAACGTTCTCCAGCTTTGGGCCACCAAGATCCTTGAGAGACATTCTGGCCACCCATCCACATAAATAAATAAAAAAAGAATATTAATATACATAAATAATTACACACCCACACAAACACACACTACGCACACACACACAACATACACACAACACACACACGCAATATATGTATATATGTAGAAATATGTATACACATAATCACACACACACATATATATATGTATGTATATCCATTGAAAGATGTTTTTTTGAGACAATTGAACAAGTAAATTAGCGTATTGAAATACTGAGATAGATACTAGATAGGCCGAGAGATAGAACGATAGATAGACACACAGAAAGATGCAAAGATAGAAAGATAGCTATAGATAGATAGGGATAAATAGGGGAAGACAGACAGATAGATCGATAGATGGACGGACAGATAGATAGACAAATAGATGGATGACTAGATAAATAGATATATAGATTTATATAAGAAATATAGGTAGAAAGATGGGTAAATTGATGCATGGATAGATGGAGAGAGATGGAGATAGATGGACATAGATGGAGATAGATGGAGATAGATGGAGATAGATGGAGATAGATAGACAGATAGATGGTTAGGTAGATAGATATAGATAGACAAATAGACACATAGACGGATAGACATACAGACGGATAGAAATGGGTAAATACAGATAGATAGATAGATAGATAGATAGATAGATAGATAGATGGATAGATAGATAGATAGATGGATAGATAGATAGATAGATAGAAAGATAGATAGACAGATAGACAGATAGACAGATAGACAGATCGACAGATAGACAGATAGACAGACAGACAGACAAACAGACAGATAGATAGATAGATAGATAAGATAGATAAGATAGATAAGATAGATAAGATAGATAAGATAGATAAGATAGATAAGATAGATAAGATAGATAAGATAGATAAGATAGATAAGATAGATTAGATAGATTGGATCGATTGGATAGATTAGATAGATTAGATAGATTAGATAGATTAGATAGATTAGATAGATTAGATAGATTAGATAGATTAGATATATTAGATAGATTAGATAGATTAGATAGATTAGATAGATTAGATAGATTAGATAGATTAGATAGATTAGATAGATTAGATAGATTAGATAGATTAGATAGATAGATAGATAGATAGATAGATAGATAGATCGATAGATCGATAGATCGATAGATCGATAGATCGATAGATCGATAGATAGATAGATAGATAGATAGAGAGAGAGAGATAGATAGATAGATAGCTAGATAGATAGAAAGATAGATAGATAGATAGATGGACAGATAGATAGGTAGATAGATAGGTAGATAGCTAGATAGGTAGATAGATAGGTAGATAGGTAGATGAGATTAGATCAGATATGATTAGATCAAATTGGCTTAGATTAGATAGATAGATAGATACATAGATAGAGATAGAGATAGAAATGAAAGTTATAGATAGATTAGATAGATTAGATAGATAGATAGATAGATAGACAGATAGACAGATAGATAGATAGATAGATAGGTAGATAGGTAGGTAGGTAGGTAGATAGGTAGATAGGTAGATAGGTAGATAGGTAGATAGGTAGATAGGTAGATAGGTGGATAGGATCAGATAGGTAGATAGGTAGATGAGATTAGATCAGATATGATTAGATCAAATTGGCTTAGATTAGATAGATAGATAGATCGATAGATCGATAGATCGATCGATCGATAGATAGAAAGATAGATAGACAGACAGATAGATAGATAGATAGCTAGATAGGTAGATAGGTAGATAGGTAGATAGATAGGTAGATAGATAGATGAGATTAGATCAGATATGATTAGATCAAATTGGCTTAGATTAGATAGATAGATAGATAGATAGATAGATACATAGATAGAGATAGGGATAGAGATAGAAATGAAAGTTATAGATAGATCGATAGATAGATAGAAAAGTTAATTACTTAGTGAGTTAGTTTGTTAGTCAGTTAGTTACTTTGTTAGTTAGTTAGTTAATTAGTTAGTTAGTTAGATAGATAGATAGATAGAGATAGAGATGTAGATGTAGATGTAGGGGTAGATATAGATAGATATATATAGACAGATATAGATAGATATAGACAGATATAGATAGGTATAGATAGAGATAGATAGAGATAGAAATATAGGTAGATAAATATAGATAGGTCAGGTATAGATAGATATAGGTAGATATAGATAGATATAGATAGATATAGATAGGTATAGGTAGATGTAGATAGATATAGATAGATGTAGATAGATACAGATAGATAAATATAGATTGATAGATGGCTGGATAGATTGATGGATCGACAGATACAGAGGGATAGGCACAGATAGATACAGATAGATGCAGATAGACAGACCGACAGACTGACCATAGGATGGACGGATGGACGGGCGGACAGGCAGGCAGGCAGGTAGGTAAAGGTGGGTAGGTGAAGGTAGGTAGATAGGTAAAGGTGGGTAGGTAATGTCGTAATGTTAGGTAGGTACCTACCTAATCGTAGGTACAGGTAGTTAGGTAGGCAATGCAACAGTAGGCAATGGTAAGCAATGGCCGAAGGAAGTTTAGAAGTCAAACTTCCGACAATATGGACAGATGGAAAGGCAGAGGTGGGAAGAGTCAGAGAAGAGAAGAGAAGAAGAGAGACGATCAGAGAAGAGAAAGAGTCAGAAGAAAGAAGATGCAGATGCGTGAAAAGGTAGGAAAGTCGCGAAACACTGTGTTTTTCCAATGATTTGTGGCGCCGGAGGGTCGAAAAGTAGGCTCGCTAAAGCGGCGGGTGCGGAGACATCTGGTCAGATGAGAGATGAACAATTGCACGCCGTTGTTGCGCGAAGCACATTTGGAGGTCAAAATGTACAAAGTCGGACCACTTTCGGAATTTTAGAGTTGTGGCGCGAAGCACATTTCCAAGTTAAAATGTACAAAACACACCACGTTCGGAGCACTTTTGGAAGTTGAGATGTTGAAAAAGTGTACGCAGTTGTGGCGCGAAGCACATTTCCAAGTCAAAATGTTGAAAACACCACATGCACGGACTCGGACCACTTTTGAAGATTTAGATGTGCTTTTGCGTGGCAGGTGCAAGGGATTCTGCACCTTGCCAAAAGTGAGCAAAACGTGAGGGTTTTGTAGTAGTTCCAAAAACGATGGCAGGCGTGGGGCATTTGCAGAGGACCTGCAACGATGCATTTCGCATGGCAGGCGCAGTACAAGAGACATGTTCATCAGAGATGTAAAGAGGTCTGGGCGCTGATTTCCTGAGAGGGGTTGCATTTTGGAGCATCAGATCTATAGGTTTGCTACAATGATTTTGCGTGACAGGTGCAGCACTCCGTATGGCCTGGCATCAATTTTTTGTCGCAGGCGCAGGACTTAAGACAGGTTG